TTTTAACGCTCTTCACTATCTCCACTGCGCTGATGGCCATAATCGTATTTTTTGGACTAAAGCAAAATTAATGGGAAAGCAATAGAGTTGAAAATATAAGTGGACGCGGGCTCTCCTTCTACTGCCCTCACCGTCTTCAGAATATGACGTCATCTGTCATCGTCGTCAAGCTCAAGGAGGCCTACCGTAACTGCTTCAGCCTGAAGCTCTTACATAATTTCGTGAATCGATTCAATGTTGGATAGTTTCCTAGAGACATTAGCTCCCACTATGCAAACCCCTCGAAACTCGCTTTTCAGTAAGGTCGTTATGGTACACGATCCTTCGAAGACCCCATTGAGCTCGACCAGTGCACCATGTTTCCAGGGCAAATTTTCTGATGCCGTCCACGTAGGTGGCCACTATGAAGATTTTCTTATAGAATGAAATGTGCTCTTCAATACTAAGTTGGAACCATTCGGTTTGAATTGAGCAAAGTGTGATTAAATCCATCTGAATGTGGAGACAAAATGTCTTTTTTATTGCCCTCCCTCCCCCCGCCTGTATTTTTCAAAATGATTTTCTGAGTTCCAGCTACTCTCGTGCGCGAGAGGTTGAGCACATGTTCTTGTCAACAGTCGCTGTGTTCTTCACGGAAGTTATGAAATGCATCGTGTGTCTTGCTATTATTCTCAAAGAGGAGACGCCTAGGAGGTTGGCCGATATTTTTTAATGATCTTTTTCTGTTTATTTGTTAAAGTCAAAAATTTGAAATGTTTATGATATCAGAAAGCGCTTCAGATAAGAAATCATTCAGATGGAATTAGGAGGAAATGATATGATTTTGTTTCAGGTTTTTTGGAGTTTTGATGGATCAGGTGGTGCGGCAGCCGTATGACACCTTAAAGGTCTGTGTACCAGCGATGGTGTACATTGTACAGAACAATTTGTTTTACATTGCTGCTTCGCATCTGGATGCTGCAACATTCATGGTAGTTTTGCCTTCCATTCATCGAATATTCAAGAAGTGTTTTCATGTTTTTTTTTGAGACAAATCTGTTATTGATTCTGTTAGAGGTAGGCGGAATATTTGTAGATATCACTTGTTTCTAAACCCAATTCAGGATGAGCCTGTGTTACTGAAAGATGACCTTATACATGTATGTGTACCACTGTAAGGCTGGTGCTCAATCCGCGATCCGTCGCGCGATTCCCGTGAATCGCAAAAATTGCAGTGCCCATTGAACATTTGAAACACTGAATATGAAACAAGTAGAATCATGAACAGTCGTCATTCAACCATCACCATCAAGCAGAAATGGCGGCGGGATTGGAGAGCACCTCGCAGTATTGATCGGGGCACCCTGATTTTCCGTCGCGATTCCATGAATCGCGGGAAGGATTGCGGACTCTGACACAAGCCTAAGCCTCAGTGACGAAATGGCACTCACGCCATAAACCGTTTTGTAACTAACATTTAGTAACGAAAAGGGATAGGCGCCTGAGAGTGACAGCGAATGATTCTTTGGATGTTGTAGGAACGCTAGTGGTGAAGGCTGAAACACATGGGCGAAATACTGTTGGAGGTGTCCTTTGCCATCGATAGACTTTCATTAAATTTTATTTTTCCCTTTCGAAATGGGAGAAGATCTCCAGGGCTTTTGTTCACTTCGTAACTTTTTTCCTGTTCTTTGCCTTTGCTGTTTTTCCTGTCTTTGTAAGCCTAGCTCTAGAAATTTCGTGGTAATATGACTATATGAACTTATTTACTGGTAGATTTTTTAATAGAGATTTTTTTAATTTTGCAGCTATATTGTTTTTTGAGGCATTACTTAACTTCAGCGGACTGAAATTAGGAAAAAAATTTGTTCTTTGTTGCAGATAACATCTCAGCTGAAAATATTCACGGCTGCAATCTTCACGGTCATCATTCTCAAGAGATCGCTAACAGGAGCGCAATGGTGAGTAGGGAGAACAGCAGTCCATATCACATCACTGTCTGATTAGGTGGGTTACGGAGGTTGACCTGGCGGCTGCCGCACTTGATAGAAGACACATGGATAAGCCATTTCCAACGCACTTCGCTGGCAGGAAATGCTATTGGAAACGTCTTATTCACGCAAATTCTATCAAGTGCGGCGGCCGCCACGTTAAATCCGTAGACCCTCCTAGTCACATGGCGAGATATGGACTGTTTTTATATCGCACCATTCTTGCATCGTTTTCAGTTGTAGCGATACATGTGAGCATCGTTCTGTTTTAGGTTTGCTCTTTTGGTACTGTTTGTTGGAGTTTCTTTGGTGCAAGTGCAGTCGGCTGGAGGTAGTTCGGCCGGTTTGGATGGACAGAAACCATTAGTTGGTGAGCGTATACGAAGATGTGTTAATATCTATTAGGTTGTTCCAAAATTAATGAGTCACCTTAGATATATTTCTGAAAAGAATCACAGGAGAAAATTAAAGGTACACTCTATTTCATGCAGCCAGAAATCCACGTGGCACACGTGGCTAAATTCTCGATGAAAAGGTGACATCACGTGTGCTCAAAGATGTTCTTGAATCGATGCCACGTTAATGCCACGTCAATTTCTGCAATTGCACAATTTCTGGTCATTTGAAGGCGAGGGTATGAAACATGTTTGCGAAGTAGCACCCTCATTATCCTCCAAACAATTAATGGTCCTACTTGCACGCTGCCTTCCGTGGCGGCTGTGACTCTATAGGATCTATTCTAGGCTCACTTCTTTATCGCTACCTATTAGGAACGTTTGAACGCCAAGGAGGATTATCCTGAATGTAGTTAGGGCAACAATCCCATATGTGGTTGTGTCGAATAATCTTTTCTGTGAGTAGGATAGAGGAGCGTGCGAGTATCAAAGCGCCGTTGTCGCTGGCAATGGTGCTTGTGCTCTTCCAAGTGAGCCCGTGACGGCTAACGTGAGCTAATGGACGAGATACCTCGTGCGCATCCCACATCAACGTGAATTATGTGACCTGAAAGTAATTATAAATTAACGCGTGGTGCGTGGTCATTACCAAGCCAGAGAACGTCCGGACAGGCCGCCTCTTTATTTCGAGTGGAAAAGACGCGTCCTGGTAGGGGGGGAGCGCGGTGCGGGTCGGCGGATCTTTCATCGGCGGTTTGCTTAGCTTCTTTTTTCCATTTTCGGTCAGTTTAGACTCAGATTGTGAAATGCTTTACTCAAATCACGAAATATCCTCCCTGCCAATCAATTTCACTTGTTTTTGAAGAGAGTGAAAGCAGAAGTGCTCTGATAACGTTAGAGAAAGCTCTGTCGTTTCGTGCGCATTGCACTGGGACTTGACGGGCAGCTTCAGAAGACCGTCACTGCTATTCACTAGTAAGGCCAACTCATATTGCCCCTCAAAATTCTGGAAGATGAGTTAATAGGGGTGTCTTGTCCCGGATGAAGGGAGCGCTACCAAGATAGCGTTTCTGCGTACGCTTGCCGCTGCATAAGCTTCGCTGAGGGTAGATCATTCGAGAAGACCGAACGTGCTTCCAAGCGGAATAGGATTTTTTCGGCCATAATCGCTGTGAAATTTGTGACAGATGTACGAACTTGGAACGGGAACAGTCCTTCTGGTTTTTCGATTCACCAAAACAAACATTTTTTTTTTTTCGTTTCCATCGTGAATGATGGGTATCAAGCCAGTGATCTAAGAGTGAGATGGAGTCGTGATTTTTCCGAAGAGAATTCCTTCAAATACATGGTGTATATTAGAAGAAAAAAACAGCGTAAAAAACAGCGTGTTTTCTTTATATTACAGGGTAATCGTTTCATATTGATGTTTCAGGGTTTTTCGCGGTGGTCATCGCTTGCTGCCTTTCTGGATTCGCTGGAATATATTTCGAAAAGATTCTGAAAGGTTCAGCACCAGTGTCTTTATGGATGCGTAATGTACAGATGTGCGTGTT